AGGAGGCAGAGGTGAGCCTTATCAAAGCTTTTGCAATCACGTTTATCAATATTGTATATAAACAAGATAACAATTCCGAGAGAAATCGTACGCTTCTACGATGCCTTTCAATTATACGACAAAAGACGCTAGTCTTCTCTCATTAACCTCCAAACGTAAATATCGCGTCACATATATATATATGCATAATACTATGTGTGTATATATACATATATATGTGTGTGTGTGTATGCATATAAGCTTAGCCAAAAATATTAGGCACTTTATTAACCATTGTTTAAAGTTTGTTTAAACATTTATTTACAGCATTTGCTATAAATTATCTTTTGTTTCAAAAACCCTTTCAATTTATATACATATAATGAATAAATTGATCAATAACTAATAGGTAACAATGCAGGTAAAAAAATCCAGATAAATGAAAAAAAAATATAGGTATCTAATATTATAATTTTGGCCTAGGCTTTACGTATATTTTTTGTATACAAATATATATGTAATTATATTATTATATAATATTATGATTATATGTATAATATATATAAATCAATATAGATAACAATTCCGAGAGAAATCGTACGCTTCTACGATGCCTTTCAATTATACGACAAAAGACACTAGTCTTCTCTCATTAACCTCCAAACGTAAATATCGCGTCACATATATATATATATATATATGCATAATACTATGTGTGTATATATACATATATATATATATATATGTGTGTGTATGCATATAGGCTTAGCCAAAAATATTAGGCACCTTATTAACCATTGTTTAAAGTTTGTTTAAAAATTTATTTACAGCATTTGCTATAAATTATCTTTTGTTTCAAAAACCCTTTCAATTTATATACATATAATGAATAAATTGATCAATAACTAATAGGTAACAATGCAGGTAAAAAAATCCAGATAAATGAAAAAAAAATATAGGTATCTAATATTATAATTTTGGCCTAGGCTTTACGTATATTTTTTGTATACAAATATATATGTAATTATATTATTATATAATATTATGATTATATGTATAATATATATAAATCAATAATGTATTTTTCTTTATTTAGGTGGAAAATCTTAAACAGCAAGGAAATGCATGTGTTAGGGAGAAAAAATATGAGAATGCAATGATTCATTATTCACAAGCAATTAAGCTGGATCCAAAGAATTATTCTCTCTACAGCAACAGATCCTTTACTTTCTTAATGTTGGAACGATATCGTGACGCCTTGAACGATGCTCTGATAACCATTCGACTAAAGCCTGACTGGTCAAAAGTATGTAAAAGGATATATACTTCCTCCAGATCTTGATTTTAAAAAAAGGAATAAATTTCTCAATATGTTTATCTGTTTCAGGGTTACTTTAGGAAGGGCGAGGTTGAACTGAAACTATCCTCTTACAATGAAGCGCTTGAGTCTTATAACAAAGCTCTATCCTTGCAACCAAATGAGCCTAAGATTTTAGAAGCGATGAACAAAGCGTCGAAATCATTGATTAAAGACAGAAGAGGTACTTAATGCACAGAGTTATCTTGGAACTATGAAAATTGGAACGTAATAAAATAATGTTTCACAGCTGATCAACAGATCCCATGGCTTGGAGCTGGCGTTGGTATTATATTAGGAGTCACAGTCGTGATTGCTGACTATGTTTTTACAAACAAGCCCACTTTAACGGTATTGACTCGTACTTTATACTTTTAAATTATTATTAAAATGGTAATCGTGTAATTATATTTTTTTTTTGTCATTGCTGTAATGTGCGCGATATAATTCTTTCATATTCTGCTACAGCATCCTCTACTGATGGCGTTATTAACGATGACTATAGCTATGATTGGCTTTGGCATCGCAAAAGGACTTCGTTATTTCTTAAAACACCAAAGAAAGTCAGTCCTAATAGGAGGAGACTTTCCTCACTGCTTGCTAGAAGCCAATGAATTTAATGATATTTATGTAAAAGAAAGTACCGATACAAAGAAAAAAGAACGGTAAAGTACAAATGGGGCAATAATTCTGCAAAGAAAAATGATAGTTTTTTTTTTTATTGATAAATTATTTCAATGTACTTTCAATATTTTTAATTAAGAAATGCAGTAACATTTTTACTATTAATATATAAAAATAATGTTATGGACGGATAAAACTAATGTTTGACTATGACTATCACTGATGTCTATCATTGAACGCTGTTATTTTTTATTTAAAAAATTAGAATATATTTTATATATTATTTTATATTATTTTTAATTTTATATAAAACCACTTAAAGCGAATATTTATATCAAAAATAGATGATTCGTTAATGAGTTTACTAGTCATTTTTTCGCACAGTACATGACGAATAATTTATGCAGTCTGCAAAAAAGATAACTGCGATAAGAAATAAATTAATTATATACATACTATCATTACATCTGAATTATCATATGACTCATAATGAAGTATAAATGTATTCTCTTGAAAACAGTATTTATTCGAAACGCTGAAGAATATTATATTTGCATCACATTTGCATTCCTTACGACTTAGAAACTTGGTAAGAAACATTGTCTCTTGCTATTGATTCTTACAACGAACAACGAAGTATACAAGTATATTAAAATAATATACCTGTGTGTGTGCGCGTGCGCGTAAGTGTGTATGTATGTGTGTTTACGTCGCATGTCTTCTTACTCTTTCTGCACTTTATAGTATAATATCAAGAGTGAATGTATATGTATATCTCTTGAAACTAAACATTTTATTTGAAATTATATTATTATTATTATTTAAATAATGTATTTAAATATATATATGTATATGTTTTCGGCTGGAAACATCATCCAGTTGAGCTCAAAAAGACTAAAGATTTATAACTTTATATATATAGGGTATTTTTTAAATAAGTGTAAAAACTTTCAGATAATTCTTTATCGAAAATGAAGAGTTTTTCATATAAACACTCTTATATCCCTCCCTGAAGTTACTCTTTCAAAAGGGGAAGTAAAAATTAAATTTTTTTTTTCAAATTTTGGATATTAGAAAAATTTAACGAACATTTTTTGCTGTAGAAAAAACATTTATTAATATTTTTAAATAATAAGAACTTAATGTTTACCTCCCCTTTAAAGGAGTGCAACTCTAACTCCTCAGGGAGAGATATAAAAATATATGTTTACATAAAAAACCCTTTAATTTTCAACAAAGAATCAACTTCTATTCACACTTATTTAGAAACACCCTGTATACCTACTAAATATATCTGTAAGCATATACACTAAGTATTTCAACCGTAGGTATACTTATAGTATATCTGCTTGCAGTTCATAAGTCATCAACGATTGTCCACGATTCAAGTGCATCAATGTCACACATATGCAACCTGTGAACTATGAACCGCATTATGCATTCGTTTACGATATCGCGTGGTCATTCAATAAAGATGAAATTAAAAGCACTATCGATGGATATCATGATCTTTTGATTCCTGAAATACCGTCCTTCGAAACTTGTCGTTTCATGTTCCACTCGCATGCAACCGAATTACGCAATACGGGAAAGTAACAAACGGCAAAAATATGCGCGATGCGCCGGGGCGAGAAGTAAAAGGAGATTCACCAAGCGATTTTAGGTCGGACATTCGGTTCATTTGCGAAGTATATCTCAAAGTACCAGCAGGGAAGGGACGCAGAGATAAAATGGGAACGAGCTATTAGTGCTAATCAAGTAAATACTGACACCCAAAGAAATCAATAAAAGGAATAATATTATTAAATGATATAAAGAGAAGAATAACTTCAAGAAAAATCTGTGCAGCATTAACAAGCTAAAAATCAATAACATCCTCCTATATAGTTACTATAGTAGAATATGTGTAAACAGTTTAGATTAGAATAATAATCATTATCGGTTAGAAGTAAAAACAATAGGGAATTGGCGAAAACAAGGAAATGTTGAAGAACAATAAAAAACTATTTTTATTTGATTTATAAAATTATGCTGAAATAATCCAGCCTTCTATACGCCCGAGAAATTATTTACGTTTCCGAACAAGTTTGTTACCTCGCAGGATTTGTGCTTTCATTTTTAAGTCTAGTGCTGTCTTTTTTCCTTCTTTCTCTTTCTATTTATCTATCTCATTTGCTATTCTGGCATGCGATTATTCTCTTACGCGTGCATATTATTGCAGTTCGCAGCATAGATAGAAGAAATAATTGGACCGCAACTCATGTAGGGCGTAGCAAACAAGGTGGGAACAATGTCGTTAATAAATAATCCGAACGATTTAACATTGCAATAAACGTCAAGTATTTATAAAACTATAGAACCATTTGGTTCTATAGTCACACATTAATTGTATGTTCACACTCAATGGAAATATTTGTCAGCGTTTCGCTATAAAAAATTGTTCTCATGTGATCAACTTGTATTCAGCTGCCATGAATCCGAGCTGGTCGAAAACATGCAGCGCTTCGTTTCAGAAACCACACCACGTGGCGTAAATAATAGGATTCCATCTGATTATATCTTTCCCGCTTTGCCTGAATAGACACAGCCTTCTTCTTCCATATCAAGTTCCCCTGACGTTGGTTATCGCATTCTAGAAAGAGTTGTCTGACTATGTAACTTACCAAAAGGCTAGGTAGATCTCTGGTCATTTTTTTTTACATTCATACTCGATCGAGTCTAACTCAAAGTAACGGTTAAAAGAGAATGTCTGCAAGAACGTGGTCATTAAATCGTGATGATATAATAATAGGATGAACGATAAGATAAGCGACTGATAAATCCAATCAACTGTATTAATGATAAAATTACACGAGTCCTAAAATTCCAATATCCGTGACCTCGAATCCCTACTCCGACAAACTGGCCGACAAAAGCTTGTATTTTGGAAAATCGACGCTCCGAGCATTTTTTTTCCCATAAGATTTATTATTACAATAAATATTGTTGCAATAAATTTATTATCACAAATATCCTTTGAGGCCTATAAGGGATTGAGAAAAAGGTATTTATTATTGCTGCTGGTTTCTCTTACAAACAATCGTCGTGCAACTTGCTCGAGGCCGCAACAATGCGCGGACGAGTTACAGTTTTTATGAAAAAGAATATACGATCGAATCATACTCATAAAAGCAATAGATAAATCGGCGATCAGCTGCGAAGTTCGTTTTTCACGGGAGAGATAAGGCGCGCGCGCTCCCTCCGAACGTTTCTCCCTCGCGAGCGATTTCGCAAAGCAACAAAGAGCTCCCCCACCGTTTTAGAATCCGCTTTCCTCGATAGTTTCACGTACTTGGTGCGTTCACCGCGATTATTAAAATCTTAACGTGTTTCCCGTACGTACAAAATGGCAAAATGGCGTGTCCCAGTAATCTCCCCCTCCCCCTCCCCCCGTTTTTCTCTACGCAGCGCATATACGGCTCCGGGCTCGCAGGCCGGTCCAGTACTCCAGTTATATATCTCACGTACGCGGTTCGTCATGAACGTGACTACGGATTGAAGTTGGCATGGCCAACTTCACTCCGAACCACGCGCGCGCGCGCGCGCGCGGGCGCGTCACTCATCGCGCGCCTGAAGATCCTTTATTGCGAGCGATGATGCGAGAATCGCCAATGATAATGCAATCCACAGAAATAGACGCGCAAATATCTTGCGGTGATACAATTTACAACTCGGAGAACGCGAAGTTATCGACGCGACGGACGGCGACCGACGATCGCAGGTGTCGAACCTCGTGCGAATTCACGAGTTCCATTTTTTTTTTTTCGACGCAATATTATTGGAGGTCTGTTCGAGCTTGCACTTTTTGCACTCGGATTTCTCTCTTTTCAACGTACGAATATGTATTTACTTTTGGAGATTTCAGGCAACGCGAACAAACCTCGAGTCTTCAGATCGATTCTTTTCAGCTGAACTTCTCGCACGGTTCGTCTTTTCTCTTCTTTTCCTCCAGCTTGAATGTAAAAAAGAGGAAAAACGACCCGTGCGAGGAGTTCAGCTGAAAAGAATAGGCCTTTCGTTCTCACGAAGTAGGACGAATTGGAAAAGATTTTCGTTCGGCGTGCGCGAAGCTCGGTGCTTCTTCTCAACTCGCAACGCAAATCCTGCGAACCCGGATTCTCGTTTCCGGGAAAGAGAGAAGGCGACGAGCGCGGAAAAAAGGAGTCACGCTTTTCACGCTCGCCGTCCCGAAACCGTTGACGTCACTTGGCACGAAGTATTCTCTCACGCCCGTATTTCGCGCACGCGATGCGATACGGCGACGCAATTACGGCGTACGTCGACGACTCCATCGGAAGCGAGTTGCAGCGTAGAAAGACGGAACGCCACGACGACCGACCAACGTGGCCGTTGGGCGGAAAACAGAAGGCACGCCGCGGTGAGCCGTCGCGTCTCGTGACACTCGCTTGGCGTGAAAAATGGCGACGAAACCTCGCGAGGCGTCTCGAGATGAGAAAAGAAGTCCCTCGTGGAAGGCTCCAAGGGGTTAGGGTGTCGGCGGATGCGGAGGCGTGTCGCGTAGCGCACCGCACACGTCGTCGTCGCGAGCCGTCCCGGAGTGCCGCTTCCGCACCGGAAATGGAACCTCGGGACGGGATGGCGAACCCGAGGATATCGAGGAGTCCCTCACCGGAAAGGAGCGGAGCAGCGACGAGGGCGTTCCGCGAGGATGCTCGAAACGAGAGAAGCGTGGCCGGGACGCTCAGCACGATTGCCTGGTGCTCCGCAGGTCACTCGTCGAGAACGCGCATGCGCGAACGCATGCGCGGTGCCTCCTCGCGGCACACACGGCTCTACAGCCGACAAAACGGGATGTTTTGTCACCTCCGAATCTAGCGATTTCCTCAACATTCTTGTTTTTCTCATTTTTTTTTTACTTTCAGTCGGATAAAATACGTGATATAAAAAAATGTTACGTACATTTTTAATAATGGATGTATTATTGACTTTCAATAAAGTTACTATTATACACATTGAGATGATGACTTACAATAAAATTATTACTGATATCAATGTAATTGATATATTATTGATTTTTAATATTATTATTATATTTTATTTGCAGTAAGCGAGGCCAAGGTGAAAATTACAAAACGAATTGGTGAATTCACTAAAATATTTATAATTTCATTGATCAACTTTATGTATAGTGAATTTGTTCACTTTTGTAATTTTCACCTCGTTTCGCGATATATATAATCGACCTCCACAAAACGGTGCTTTAAAAGATCTGAATATTCTCACAGTTGCAAACTTCAAGGGATTAAAAAATTATAAAGACGAGGGAGCTTCGTTATAACGCGATTTTTTTTTCTTTTTTCGTTATAATAAGAATCACTTTACTGCTACAGGAAAAAGGGATATTCAATAAACGCGATCGGCCTCGTGAATTCCAGGTTCTTTCGTCGCAGTTTCCCGAACAGAGAGAGAAGTCTCTGAAAAAGCTGACTCGATGCGTTAGCGCGCGCATCTCCTTCGCGCGGCTTTCCGAACTTTTCGCGACGATGATCCGCGAGTTTCGGTATCGCAACAACTTGCCGTCTCCTCGTTCGCCACGATGATCGTCGGAACCGCGAAAGTTTCCGTTCGCGCCTCATTACAATGTATTCTCTGACGTGCTTATTAATAACGCGTGACGAACGAAGGACGAAGTTCACGACTTGCCCAGCAGTAATCGCACAAAGCCCTCGCGCCACGAGGCGCAAAGAGGCAAAACGTAATCCACCATGAAGACGTTTTCCGTTACTCGCTCCGCTGTCCGCCGGGTGATTAACCGGTAAAAAATATTCCTAGGGCGAAAAAGTCGCACGGAGCGACCGAGGACCTCCCGCAGGTTCAAACGTTAGGAACACAGAAGTACAGATTTTTGTATAAATATCCCGAAATACAGTAACCATATAGTAAGCTTTACCCCGGAAGCACAATAGATATGTAGTAGAAAGTTTTAAGCCTTAAGAAATTGATCAATCACAGTCAAATATGAGAAAAATAATCGACTATGATTGGCCAATTTCTTGAGGCTTAAGAAGGCTGCGCCTATTGTGTTTGAGGAGTTAAGCAGATATTGATCAATTACAGTCGAATGTGAGAAGAATAATCAACTGTAAATGGTCAATTTCTTACGGCTTAAGACCTAAAGCTTAGATAATGATTTATTGTAGGAAGTCCATTCATTGGTACATCTATTGTGTTTTGGGGCGCATAATGCATCAAAAAATCAATCCCGAGTCTTTCATTTCGTGGAAAGGAAGGAAATGAAGAACTTTGATTAATTCATTTTTTATGCATTATGCGTTATGCAAGACTCTCTGTGCTCCCGTCCTAAGCCACTGCCTAAGCTTTAAGTCTTAAACCTCCAAGAAGCTGATCAATCATAGTTGATTGCTCTTCTCACATTCGACTGTGACTGGTCAATTCCTTAAGGCTTAAGGTTTACTGCACCAACTGTGTCTTGGGTCTTAAGAGAGATATCAATCCCTCGATGTGTTCCGCGAGTCTCTGTTCCTCCAGTTTGTCCGTTTTGTCGACGGATCGTCGCGTCGTATACGCGACGATCAACTGCGTAGCGAGTTCGACTTATTTTAAATTACAAAAGCAGCTTCCAATGCAGCGAAATGACGTGTCAATGAATAACTCATAATTAAATCCAGTTTAAATAAGAAAAATATTAATGAGAGGACCGAGAAGTTTCTTTTTATTCGCCCATACAGCACAGATCGTTCCAACAATATTACAGCAACATTCGCAATGTTCCAGCAATATTGCGGTAACATCGCAAAGTTATTGTAATATTACTGAAATAATCTGTACTGTACAGTATGAATGTCGCTGATTGGAGCTGTCAGAGTAAAAGTTGATCGCGCGGAGCTCGTGAAATCAGTTCTGACTGTCGTGAGGCTCTCCGTGAATTCTCTATAAAGTATAAATCCGAGTGTCACCCCAAATGCGCCCTGCGTGCAGCCGCCTCTGTCACGGATCGCACTACTTTTCCATCGTATCCCACCCGGGCGCGCCGTGTGTACGGGCTGGTGGCCGCTGATTGGCGAACGACGATCGCCGGGTGCGCGACGGGGGCATCGCGACACGAAGCGGGACCCTCTCGACGACTGGGCGCATCTATCAATGCGCAATCGCATCGGAGCTGTAGACGAAGTCGGGGAGGTCTGCCGAGACGAGGAATAAACACGGTGGCTGGTCCGCGCACAGGCACACGGGCATCGGGGCATCGGCGAGAAGTGGGCGGCGGAGGGAGTCGAGCGAGAAAGAGAGAGAGAGAGAGAGAGGGGAGACATAGTGGGAGAAAGCGAGAGAGAGAGGGGGAGGGAGCGAGAGAGAGAGGGAGAGAGAGAGAGAGTGAGAGCGAGAGCGGGTGATACGGTTCGTGCGTGCGAGCGAACGAGAGAGGGAGTGAGAAAGACGTGAGCGAGACAGAGCGAACGAGTAGGCCAGCGAGACGATCACGATGCACGGAGGCGAGCACAAGCGGCCAGGGGCACAGGGCTGAGGGCTGAGGGCTCGACGGGGCCTCGAGTTACGTTCACGGGCCGGCCGCGACGCAGCCAGCGAGCGATGGAGCAGTCCAAGACTCCGGCGTCCCGGCTATTCAACACGACCTGCATCGAGAACAAGGACGACCTGGAAGAGGTAACATAAATATTTGAAATAGTCACTGGATACGTATCGGGTGCGAGGGCCTCCGCCATTGTTGCGACGGTCGCGCACGTTGGCGAACGCGCGGCGCCACTTGCGAAAATCCACCTTTTCGCGCGACATTCGAAACCCGCCGAACGTGAAATCGTCCTCGGGAGGATCAGGGTTTCTATTCCTACCGTTCTTTCTTTATTCCGCTGTCTCACGTCCTTTGCCTCCCTTCTTCGTGTTCCGTCAAGCAACTCCATCGTGACACGTGATTTTTCTGAATTACTCCGGAAGCTTTTCAGTGCTTTCCAGCAAGAAACACTTGATAGTAGGTGCTTTTTCCAGCCAGAAACAGTGAGTGCTTTCCATCTGGTGACACGAATCGTCACAAGTATCATTCTGTCTTTGTTACGTATGAATGTAAAGAAAGATAGGACAACACTTGTGTCAACTTGTGTCGCTGAATAGAAAGCACCTAGTGAATTTCATTATATCGTTATTTGCTAATGTTAAACAAAGATGAAATGATCATTGTGTCGTATCATTGGTGTTTTCTTGCTAAAGACACAGTGTAACACAGTGATCATTTTATTTTTGTTTAATATAGAATGTTTTTCAGTAAGAGACACAGATAACACAGTATAACATAATGAATATATCCTTATTGTTTGCCAATGTTAAATAAAGATGAAATAATCACTGTGCGTTACATTGTCTCTTGGCAAACAACAAAGTTGTGATAATTCACTGTATTATCTGTGTTTCCTGAATCATCTGTGTTTCTTGCTGGAAAGTACCAAGTGTAACACAGTGAATCATTTCATCTTGTTTTTTTATGTAACATTAGCAAATGGTAAGAGGTATTTTCCATTTGATATCCAATTGACACAAGTGTCTATCTTTGTTAATCACTAGAATATCAAGAAAGATAGATGATGTTTATGTCGACTTGTGCTAATAAATGGAAGGCTTGTGTTACTAATTGGAAGGATTCAAGGATATAATAATTTACTGTGTTACACTGTGTCATCTGTGTTTCTTGTTAGAAAGCATCTGGAGTATCTCTCCTTGTGTGCTCAAAGATATTTGTACTAAATAAAAATTTACTCAAATTTTTCTTGCGTATTTTTTGTTTTTCATTTAGAATCAGTGAAATTGAGTGATACAATATCTTTTCAGAAATTGGAAAGATGTCATTCGACGTTGCAAAATTTGATCACGGGACTCTCGGAGAAGGAAGCTCACGACACGCTGAACAATGCAGTGTGCAAGGACAAGACGCACGAGGAGGTTTCCCTGGGTTTACTAGTGATTATCTTGACAGAACCGCAGAATGCTGCAAAAAGTTACAGAGACTTGACATTGATCACACGAGATGGCCTAGGCGTTGTGTTGGTTAATCTGAATCAATTAGTACTGGAAAAATATTTGAGATTAAATGACGTTACCAGGAGCCAGTTATTGTGGTTGCTAAGGGAAATGATAAGGACTAGTGTAACTAATGTGGATAATCTTTGTTTGAGTTTGTTGAGGCATGCGGCAGGCGGGGATATTTCCCCAAAGAACTTATTTCTAGTTGACGCCCTCTTAGATATTTTTCAAGAAAATCGAGCGTGGTTGGATAAATTTTCTTTTTTAGTAGCATCAATTGTATACACGTATTTACGGTTAATAGAAGACCACAATGCACCTCATTTGGCTGGTTTAAGGCAAAAGGAAGTGACCTTCACAACATCTCTGATAAAGGAACGAATGGCAGACTGCCTAGCTATTGGAAGGTATACATACTAGGGCGATTAGAAAACTTCAAATAATGAATAATATTGACATAAATTAATGTAATTATATTTTTCAGAGATTTGGTTCGTTTACTACAGAACGTCGCGAGAATACCGGAGTTTGAAACACTCTGGAAGGATATATTACTCAATCCGAAATCTCTCTGTCCAAATTTTAACGGTGTTCTTCAATTGTTACAAACTAGAACCTCCAGAAGATTTCTACAATCTCGTTTGACGCCGGAAATGGAGAGAAAACTTGTGTTTCTGACGAGTAACGTCCGTTTCGGTAATCACAAGCGTTATCAGGATTGGTTTCAGAGGCAATACTTGGCAACACCTGAATCTCAATCGTTAAGATGTGATCTAATTCGCTTTATCGTTGGAGTCATACATCCCACGAACGAACTGCTGTGCTCTGACATTATTCCGCGATGGGCAGTAATAGGCTGGTTATTCACAACGTGCACTTCCACCGTGGCTGCCAGTAATGCAAAGCTAGCTCTGTTCTACGATTGGCTGTTTTTCGATCCTGACAAAGACAATATCATGAATATTGAACCTGCAATCCTTGTTATGCACAATTCAATGAGGTCTCATCCACCTGTCACTGCCACACTTCTAGATTTTTTATGCAGGGTGAGTTGCACTCGTTTCATTTCACTGAGAAATTCTAAGTATTGGAATAAAGTATGATTTAAAGATATGTTTAATTCTAAATAATAAATAGAATATAATTTATATATATATTTATAGATTTATTAAAGATATTTTATTTAAATTCTGAATAATAAAACAAAATATGATTTACAGATAATACCAAACTTCTATCCTGCGCTAACGGAGAAAGTCAGAAACGGCATATTTTCGTCATTGCGACAAATTTTGGAAAAACGCGTTTTGCCTAGCCTATATCCGTTATTTGATAGCCCGAAACTCGATCGAGAATTAAGGAGTAAAATACGGGAAACTTTTAAGGAATTTTGTCTACCACCAAATACGGAAATGCCTGGTAAAATTATTAATATATAATATATAAACGTTGTATTATCATATTAACATTTTATCACGTTATCATACAAAAAAGTACTTCAAATAGAAAAAAATTGTGGGTATATAATTTCTTCTTTAATTTCTTCAATTAAAAGAAATTTGAATTGTCTATCATTGAAAATTTGAATTGTCTATCATTGGTTTACAAAAACATTTGTCCACGACGAAAGTGATGAAAGTAGATCCGAGAATTGTTGGAAATAAATTATTTGCATATCAAACAACTTGAATAAGGAAAGAATGAGGTATGCCTTTTGAAACCAAATACAGGATATTGGTGTGCAATAAGATTTATTTATTCACATATCTTAGCTAAATTAATCAACTTGAATAAATTTTAAACAAAAAAAATACATTATCTTATAATCTTTATACTAGATGCTATATCTACTTGCTGATTACTTAGCTAATTTTGACTCTTTATAAATAATGTGCTAACTTGTCAATTTGAGAAGAATTTTAATTTATTAGAATTGTATTCATTGTAAAGTTTGAATAGCTCTTTTTTGATAAATATTTGACAGTTATTTTAACATTCATAATCAAGAATTCTTGAAAATCAGTTATAATCAGGGTTGGATAGTGCCAAGTTAAAAAGCTAAAAGTTAAGTTAAAAAGTTGAAAAGTTAAATAATTTTAACTTAACTTAGTTACATTTTAGACTCTTAACTTTTTAACTTTATTTAGTTATTTATTTATTTTAACGATAACTATTAACTTTTTATTTAAATTTTTTGAAGTTAAGAGAGTCTCAGACTCAAACATATACTTCATTTAGAACATGTTCTATATTTTACTTAAAAGTTTTGTTTGTATATATTATTTACATTATATATTGATTTCAATCTAGCAAAAAATATTTTAATGTATCTAGTTTTTGATAGGTTGAAATCTACATATATATATAACAGTATATATAAACAAAAAGTTTAAATAAAATATAGAATATATTCTAAATGAAGTATATGTTTGTCATTTCCGTTATTTGTAAGACTCTGAAATCATAAAATAGAAAGAAATTTAACTTTCAATTTTTCAATTACTTTTTTTTATTAACTTATCTTTTAATTCAATTAATTTCATTATACATTAACTTGTATCAAAATACCTATTTCAAGAATGGATCTGGACACGGAGAAAACCCGCCAAACTCATAACTTTTAAATACACTATAGTGTTTTTAATATCATCTTTAATACCATATTTCCGCAATTCATGACTCAAAATATATAACAAAAAACAAACATGAAGTTAAAAAGTTATTTTTTGAGTTTTTAGTCTAAGCATTAGTTTTTGAGAACACAAGTTTATAAAAGTTAATCATTTGCTGTTTAGATTATCACCTGCCATGTAGACATTACTATTACTGCATGCACAGATTCATGTGATTATTAATCATTATACACCATTTAAAGAACCTTTAGGTCCTTATATCTCAGTTGTGGTTGGCCCTTGTGTTACAAAAACTACTCGAAGTTAAAATCTATAAATAACTTTTTTATTTCATTTTTCTTGTTATAGTAATTTCAGTCGTAAATTTCAGAACACTGATTTTAATATTATATCAAAGTTCGATTATCAAGTCTTTTAAAAAAGTTATATTTTCCATTACACATGACATACATTTCTGGATGAAAATTTATTGGAAATAGATTAAAGTCAGATTTCCATAGAATTTGTGTTCTCAATGTTAGAACTATATTAACTTGGTCAAGTTGAAATAATATTTCGAAAGGAGAAGATTTTGAAACAATAATGTCTGTATTAGGTATATGCGAGCTCCATTAATTGAATCGATCTCTGAATCAATCTTGAATCGGATTGATTTGAAATCGATCTACTAAAAAATCGAGAGCTGAATAAATCGATCTATTGGAGATTAAAATTCAATTGAAATTTTTTTAGTAACATCCCAGCGAGATATGACAATGGCTGCGTTCAGCAGAAAAAGCAGCTTTGTAACTGTTGTAAAATTCTTCAATATGATTGGTTTATACATTTAGATCCAATAAGAAACTAAGGGCAAGATTAATCATATTGGTCGCGTTCAGCAGACTCAACTGTTGTGGAGCGGATCCGTGAGCGCTCGCTACTATTGGATGATCTAGAAGAATACACCAATAACAGCGAGTGCTCACGGATCTGCTCCACAACAGTTGAGTCTGCTGAACGTGACCATTGAAGAATTTTACAACAGTTGCAAAGCTGCTTTTTCTGCCGAACGCAGCCAATGGAATAAATGTCGAATCAACGTTAATTTGATGATTTCAGCGTCGAATCGAAGAATTTTACAACAGTTGCAAAGCTGCTTTTTCTACCGAACGCAGCCAATGGAATAAATGTCGAATCAACGTTAATTTGATGATTTCAGCGTCGAATCGATATTGATTCCATTGTCATTTCTCACTGAGATCATATAAATTCAACAAAAACAATTAAAACACGATTTTGATTTGTCTCCGCGCGAGTAAAATAATTTTAATTTAAAAATCTAGATTTAAACTAACATCTGAGCTCCTATTCTTGAAAAAAATCGCATACGAAAAACAAGGACATACTATAGTGTACGTAACATATACTATAGTATTTTCCTAGTTTTTCGTATGCGATACTTTCTCCGAGAATAGGGGCCCTGTTTTGCAAAAAGAGATCGATCTTTTAGATTTTTAGAAGATCGAATCGAGATCGCACATTCCTAGTTGGTATCGTTATAATATCGTTGTGCAAGTATTACCCCAGATCTACAATAAGTGATTTAAGCCTTAAGTCATAAGAAATTGACCAATTACAGTCGAATTCCAGGAGAATAATTGATTATGATTCGGCCATTTCTTATGGCTTAAGACTCAAAACCCTATTGTAGATCCGGACTTATACATATAATAAAAAGTTTATGTAATGACAATATAACTTAAATTTAGTAGAAATTTTGAAAACATCTTAAATATAAAATCTTGTTTTTATGATGAACAGAGAAAAAATTGACCAATTGCATTAGCCAAATTTTGTGTGATTTGTTAAGTTTTTCTCCACCCAATTTTAGCATCATGAACACAAGACTTAAGGAAAAAATCCTATATCCGAGATTTTTATCTGAATTGTGCTACAAGTTTTAGTAATCTTTTATTGAACCAAGAGCTTTCAAATAAGTTTTTTCATAAAAAGTGGTAGAAATTAAAAAGAGTATTAAAAAATTATATTAAGAAATCTTGAAAATGCATTAAATATTCAGAAAATCTTCCAGTTTTCGGATATATAATCGTGCCACATAGATAGCAAGCTGATTATTTATTGTCATTTTTACTTCAACATGATATATTAAAGATTAAATAACGTTAAAATGACAACGAGTAAGATCAGCTTGCTATCTAGATAGTAATGAGTTGTGACATATGTATTACCATGATATATTACCGCGCGTCCATTTTCTAAAAGTTTTCTGCTACAAATCTGACGATTCACTTTCAGCTTTCAATACATTTATCACTTACTAACTTTTTACATCATGTCCTTAAGCAGGTAATAAGGTTCTGAAATATTCAGGTAAAATGGAAGAGCTCAACAAGGAGCACAATCCAGGGACTGTAATAGAAAATACCACAAATTCTACCGTGGAGAACAACCACGTGGCACAAGATCCAGAACCAGCATTCAGTGATGAAGAAGAGGAGTCTCCCCTCAGGTTAACTATCCATTGCATATATTAATGCAATATTTATTTACATTTAGTATAACATATACTAATCTTTTCGATATGGAAGGATCATATATATAGACTAAAGTTTTATTTCATCTTATGATTCATCAATACATTCGTTATGGTCATGAAACAATAACAGTAAAAAATATGAGACTCAATTATAACTTTGACCGCAGTGATTGTGACTGTAGTTGTTGATTACTCTTTGATCATGACGAATCTATTTTTTGCACTGAAAAAAAATTAAACTTCGTATTACGAACGTAGGCTTAATTAAACGAATTTATTTGTATTTTAGAATAGTGACGAAAGTGGAAGAGGAAGAAGACGAAGAGGATGTACCATTGTCTGCTGTAAAATTGAAAAATGATCAAAAGAACGCAAACTGCGTCGTGAAGAAGGAGGACATTACGTCGCATTTACGTCTCATATTGGAGCCGGAAGAGTTGAGAACTAGTATAGAAACATTGCATACGGAAACCGACAATGAGTCGAGATGCCAAGCGATGGAAAGGATAGTACAGATGGTCGTGGAGGACGAAATAGATGCAGAGACGATACCCGCGTTAACGTCCTGCATATCAACTATCTTATCGCCGCAGATCACGGCGCAGATTTTTCCGTCGGATAATCTAAATGAAGAAGTATTGGCTGATAGTATAAGTACACCGTTGTTTGTTATGTTTCGAAACCAGTTTCAATTATGCAAAGAAGAAGATAATAGGCGGAAGCTTTTGGCCAGGGTGCTAGCGGAAATGCAATCAGTTCAATCTAGAATAGGTTATCTCCTCCTTTATTTCTTAAAAGTCTGGGGCAGAGAAGAAGAGAAAAGAGAAGGCGAACCGAGGTTAGACGAAAAATATGAAGATAAATTATTAAACAGACAAAAAGTAAGAAAAAAAAATTTAACTTTTGAATTGTTATATTTCAGTAATGTTCTGAACGATGTCAAAGCATCAGTATATAAAGACTTCTGCGCACAGCGAGAAAAAAAATTGGACGTTTGTCTGGTGTCAGATTTAAAGGTAAGAATTTTATATACAAATATAAACAAATATTATACTTAAAGCGATATATTTTAATATGTTGTTTGCTTTTGTTGCAGCTTTGCCACGAAGATAACATATTCATGTTATGTTATCTTGTGCCTGACGTATACACAGGGTTTCAAAATGTCGCCGTCGGAAATGTTCAACTGTTGCATCTTGTCGTATCCACTGTAGATTCGTGCCAGTTACAGGATTTAGTTTGTCAAATAATGCAAGGCCATCTAAAGATGTTGAAGAAGGAATCGTTCACCACGCTATTGACAGCCAGCTTAAATTGGGAAACATTCGAGCAGTACTGTTTCTGGCAGCTCATATTCGCACACGATTTTCCCATTGATTATGTACTGCCAGTTTTGCCGAAATTACAGTTTCGTAATCACGCGGAGGCACTTACTTCAATCTTGTTTATGCTTAAGCAAGAAAAGTGAGTAAAATAATTGTTGATTATTAGAAAAATTATTGTAGAATTCGATATATGGACTTCATATTTGACTAATGCATTATAGGCCAACGTTGGATCTTCTACGACAATTACTCGCCCGACAAAGCGTTGATGGCGATATGTTTGTTGTGGCAGCGCTACGTTACTGGTGTCGCGATTACGAAGAGAAACTTGGCGAGCTGCTTGCGAATCTACTTAGCACCCGTTATCCTGCGACCAGTCCGAACAAACGGAAACGTTCTGGAGCCAAACAGAATCAACAATCTGCTGGTCCACCTACCGGCGAACAAGTTCTCGGTCATTTGGATCAATTACGTCAACACTGTATGTCCTCCGCGGAATTACAGTTATATCACTCTGAAGGAATGCAAAGGGCATTACAGCAGGCGCAGGCGGCGAGTAGTGATTCACTGAGGAAAAGTTACGGCGATCTCTTTGCGCTTGCAGAAGTCAATGAAGAAAATGAACCGCCACCACCGAGTAGTTCCGCGAGAAAACACACTACTGCTTCCTCTGGAGGTGGTGGGGCCAGTGGTAAGGGTGGCCATAGGAAAACCGGTGCTAACACAAGAGAAAGATCCAATTTGAAGAGACCACTTCCACGATATCATATTGATAGTACCTCTAGTAGCGAGGTAAGGGTTTTTGGAAATGATATTTATGTAAATCATATGTGGATATAATTATATACGTCATATGCAATCACACACACACACACACAATTATTTATTCTTATTGAAAAATTAATTTTTCTTATCGTTCACAGGAAGAAGAAATCGTGAATCCAAAGCAAGCGAAAAAAAGGAAAAAGATCAATCCATAATTTTTCTCATCGTTCACAGGAAGAAGAAATCGTGAATCCAAAGCAAGCGAAAAAAAGGAAAAAGATCAATCCAGTGGGCTCGGACAGCGACTGACCACCCAGTGTCTTCATATGTCACATGGACCACGTCACGTGTGTGCAGCAAGCTAAACTAGCCTTAAGAATAGTAAGATAATATGATATATATGTACATATATATAACACATTGATATATTTATATATATATACATATAAATCTATTTAGCGCAACTTTGTAAATAGAATGTATGCTAATGATGAACGCGGAGAGGTATACATATATAGGAAAGTAAAACCTTTAATATGTTTCATATATATACATGTTGCTCAGAGCAACAGCAACATTGCCAGACTCTGATTGTTACTGTTAAAACATTTTGTTGAAAATTAAAAATCGATGTGTGGGAACTACTTAATCGTATGCTTAAATACGATCTTGTTTTAAACCGTTTTTATATTGACAGATACTAGTTAATGATATTTAATGGTAAATTCGTATGACCAAGCGGTACGTGAATTAGTCTGCAACCAATATGCAAAATATGCATTAGGCTACCGCTCATATCTGTCAAAGTTATTAAAAAGCAGGACATTTTAGAATTGCTGAAGAATCCTGTTTTTTTTATTATAGTCATATTAAATTATGATGTTGGGTAAGAAATCGTGAATTTTTTTGACAATATATATCAGAAAGTTTTCTTGTGTATGCATATTTGACAGCATATGGAGGAATGAAAGCCATGGTGTAAGGCACTTTTATGATTTCAAGAAATAAAAAAATTTTTTGATGTTAACAAAGACTTACACCACTATCGTTTCCATCCCTCCATACGTAGATTATACCGTACGTTCTTTTTAATTTGTAAATTAACAATGATGTAAATCTTGATCAATTGTCGTCGCATGTGTAACATGCAGATCGAATTATAAATATTAAAACAATCATAATACATTTTTGCATTTATTGATACATAAAAATGATGAAAGTGTATATTTTCGGTACTATTATTTATATACATGGCGTGTCTATAAAGTTTTTCCTCGCTTTCCATATTTCGAAAATGATTTAAAATAATGAAAAACCGCAAAATATGTGTTCGAGGGCTATTCTTTTAAAAAGATTGAGGAGTTGTCCTCCCCCTCCTGAAGGGGATACATTGCATCTACTGTTTCTAGTACAGTAGAAACATTTGAAAGAGTTTAATGTTAAGAGTTATTAGTTTGATGAATGAAAATTTGCATTCTTTCGTTTTGCGAAAAGTTTATGAAAACTTTTTTACTTACTCGACATATTATACAAGTTTGATCCCAACCTTTGCAGACACCCTGTACATATGATATGCATATATATATAAAGAGAGAGAGAGAATGCTTTCCATTTGGCAACACAAATCGACACAAGCATCACTATGTTTCTTGGCATTCATTGAGTAACAAAGATAGAACGACACTTGTGTTCTCAAATGAAAGTTCTCATGAAAATATTTAATTAGTTTGAACTGATATACACATACATAGATATATATGTGTGTACATAAAGAAAAAAAATATGTAGATACACATTATAAAACAAAGATTCACACGGTTTCTTGTCTGACATCGCGATTCATATGACTGTGAAAAAGAAATAATATGACCGTTTTCTTCGCAAGTATGAAAACGAAAAACACAAAGAATCTGGCAACATTGCAGGGGTATAGCAACGCAATATATCCCTTTTGCACTTTACTTTTTTTTAAATATCATTATGACGGATTTTTATCTATTATCTAAATATGCAGTCATTACATTTTCCTTCTCTTTATGAAATTTTTGTCAAAATAATTGTGATCGCTATTGGACATATTCGTTGCCGTAACTCCCGAGCGTAATTCAAATGAATTATTAGCCTTTTCTTTTCTAGAATTAAGAACCTTCTACCGGAACGTCGAGACGTAATTCGTGTACGTATTATTCCGGTGAGAAGCGTACAGTTTTACGACCAAATGTATTCAGTTCTCAATTGCGCTTAATGAGCACAATTATTCTCGAGAGATACAGGGATACTTTTTATAATGTTCTGCATGACGGAAGGTTATTAAACTTTAAAATAATCAGAGTGATTCAATGTTAGCTTGAAATAAATTCCTTTTTTGTTTCAAATTTTATTAGGATGTGATTTAGTAATTTGATTTAATAATTTGTTGCGATTATAAACTGCGAAATAATTTGACTTGTACTTTTGTATATCTTTTTAAATCTCCTTATATTTGTAGATAGACATATAAGGTGAAATTAATTCGCGCATGGTGATAACGATGCAGACACGATCAAGTCGGTCCCATCATTGTACAAGTATTCAATTCTCGTTTGAAAAATATTTGAATAATTTTCCGTACTAAATCGTTCGTCGTTTCATTATCATACTACGTACGAGATATACGTGTTTCTCTGAAATGTTAAAAAATCCGAAACTACGGTACCTTCCAAGGAAAGAAGAGGAAAAAGAAAGAAAAGAGAGTGTTAGGCGTTCTTGTAAACCTAAATCTCGAAAACAAAGTGCGAAGAGAATATATCACCATTTACTTATAATGTACATACATTTCCTGTAAAATCGTTTAATCCAAAAGTCGATTGCATTATGCATCTTCTAATTGTGCGTGTATACATATATACACACACATATGTGAGATATATAAATATATACATAAAACGTGATGAGAATATGTGTATGTATGCATGTATTATGAAACAGTATATTGTATGTGATGCGACCAGAGAATTTGTGCAAAACATTTACGATATATATATATATAAAACTAGATATATATATATATAGTTTTTAGCACCCCCTACGCCTCCCCTCTCGATCTTGATTTTATCTCGAAAGTACCAGTGTGAAATCGTATCGCTGATCAGATAAAAAAAAGAGAAACCCAGAGCGTGTCTAAATGTTCATACGAACGATTTGTATGAAGAATGGATACGTATAATCTCTGGCGCGTAACGATAACGTTATTAGAATTTTTTACTTGTATATAAGCAACGCGGCGATACGACAGAGAATATTAAAAAAAAAGATAATCCGACGAGAAAAAGAGAGACCGAGAGAGCGCGGAATATGGGGCATGCGATGCAGTCTGCGAGAAAAAAAGAAGGTAAAAAAGAGGAAAACAAACCTGTAAACATTAATGTTTTTAACGATCTTGTACACACGGAAGAACATGTAAATACATGAATAGATTATCATAATGCGAGTATAAACATTTAATGTTTTTAACGATCTTGTACACACGGATTACACGTAAAATGTAAATACATCGAAAATTATCAAAAGCAAACTTGTGATGTCTTGTACTTACTTTCTCCTTTCGAGTCTCCTATTCTTTAAGGTATAGATATCTTGCATCAATAGCAGTTATTAACAATAAATTATTTCGCTGCAATATTAGCGGTAGTGAACGTATATATTTTCTCTCTTTACCCCGTTTAAGTACAGTTGCACTATTATTTTGCGTATTACGGGTATATAACCATTCTTATATTTAAGACCATTGTAAGTACAGTCTTTTCTGTGATAAACTGATCATGGAGCTTTATTAGCATCTTAAGGTCATTACTTAAGGTCTTAAGATGTTATATGGCTCAGTAATTGGTTTATGACATTTTAAGACTATACTTAAAATGGTCTTAAAATAAAAATTGACTATGAATACCGATTCATAACATTTATTTAAAAAAAAAATCGCATCCATGTCTCAATAACAAATATTTTACTTGCGATAATCTCTAATTACGTAAGCAGTTTGATAAATCGGTGAATTTTTTTATTTCTTTTTTTTTACTAAAGTTCGATTTATTTTTTCAATAGTCTCTTATTAAAAAATCATTGACTTATTAAAATGCCCATATAAATTGTTTATATTCTATCGCATGAGTAACCGAGTGACTGGATTTGTCATGTGAATTCCGACGGTACGTTCCAAGAAAGTGCGTAAAATTCATTGTGAAAAACGAATTTATTTTCCTTTGTCACACACTGAGAGAGGGAGAGAGAGAAAGAATATTGGGAAAATCCAATTCGACGTGAGACAACAAAGAAAATCATAGTATTAAAATTTGTCATATGTTATTATTGCTAAAAATGCGACGGGGGAAATGGAATAGATTCTTATTTATTTTCTCAAGAAATTTGTGGATACGTCATCATTAATTACATGACGTATCTTTCTCTACATATAATGCATTAATCAAACCTTTCAGTTTTATTGTGTTCGCCAGTAAGACGAGAATCGCAAGAATTATTTTCATCGCGACCAAGCTTAAATAAAGTAACCACCTGTTTCTTCTCAAAGTTCATTCGGTTTTAATATACGTCAAGAACACAATAAAGGGCCGTATAATTTCATGAAATTACTCATTTCGATAATGCATTACAATTCGCGCTCGTCTGTCTGTCGAGAATTTCATTCGGCTAATTTTCGGGCGAAGATCAATCGAAGGCATAAATTTTTACAAAACTGCTTTTTATTATGCTTTACAATCAGACTAAGCGCCTCAATTATCATAGATTAATCTTTTTTTTAACGTAAAGACATCGTGGTCTCAATTCTGCACAATGTCGATTTATTAAAGAATAATTAGTCGATATTTTAAACTAATATTAAACGTCGCGACAAAGTTGACCGCTTCTATTGATCTCCGCGTGTCGAGTGTCACCTAATTAAAGTAGAGAAATAGTTTTGTTTCGATTGTGCACGGGGGATTGTACTTTACATAGGTATATTTATAGACCGTGTTCCGATATACACTGCCAATACTGAAAATCTATAGTTCATTCGTTACGTATACTATAGATTTTCAATATCAGCAATGTATATCGAAACACGGCCTTAAAGAGTTCGGGTGCACGCCGTACATCGACGTACACCGTGCGTCTTGTTATAATTGTTAATCACAATCGTCGAATATGTACAAGGATTCTGTACAGGGATTCGTATTTGCCATTCGTCGTCACGCATACGCGCTATATCACGTAGAAATTCGATTATTACACATAAGAATCGTACTATATTTATGATGCAAAAAGGTATTCGTTCATAAACTAGTTCATACCGCGAGAGCTGTATAAAACAGCGACAGGCATCGTGACACTGATACTGACATCGACAGGATCAGGAGACGACTCGAAGCCCGCGCGACGTGCCATATCGTCTCGCTCGGCAAATCACTATTTAATACAGCGTAATTTTTCTTCATCAAAATTAAAAATTATCGAACTAAATTAAGAATCTAAAGATTTGCGCGATTATTTATAACGAATTAGCTTTTTACGTCAATAACGAATATCTCAATAATAAAAATCTGCGTTAATCAAGCCTCTAAAAAAAACGTCATAAGAAATAAGAAAATGTTCTACAGAGTTTTAAATGCCACTTAAACATCTCTTGTGTCCGTTTCCACCAAATTAGATCAACTTTAATATCGGTTCAACTTACTTTTCATCTTTCTCTAGTTTTGAGAATTAAGGTTAATCTACATTAGAGTGGAAACAGGCATTAAACTTCTTTGCACCTTTATACTGGAGGGTAATAGGAAGGAAATATGATTCGTTTGAAGATACAGCGGTCGCAGAAATTCAAAATTATGTCTCGACGATCACATATCTGTTTACTAAAAAGCGTAATGTGATTTTTCGGTGAGTAGGCCAGGCTAATCTTGATGCCGCACCACTTTATCGGCCATCCACTTTAGGCGCGTTATAATCCTACATTTACGTAACTACAAGATCATATATAAGGTGAATCTAAATTGTTCGTTGATACTTTAGAGATCTAGAATTTTAACAAAAGTGTACGAATTAGAGAAAATGCTCGAAATGCACACCTTCCGCTGTGATATTTCTAAAAAAATTTGTAATATACAGTTTTATTTTGTACCACAACCTTCACATCAGGATATTTCAAAATCCTTAAGTTTGAGACAATATTTCAAATAAAAGTTGCTCAATTGTTAAAGGGAAAGAAAATGACCTTGGTTGACTTTGGAAAGATTAAGCAATAAAGTTCGAAATGAAGAAGATGAGGATGCTCAAGCTCGTCTTTTCTTCATCTCAAGCTTAATTGTTTTAAGATAATGGGTTATTCTATTGATTTTTAAGTCCTCATCATTTGTAAAGTACATTTAATGAAAAAACACTTTATTATAGTGTTTTGGAAAGATAATAAACAAGGTTGACAAAAATAATATTTTTTTTTTTAGAATAAAACATTTTTTTAAACATGTTTTTAATGCTTCATTCATGTTTTAAACAGTATTATAAAAAAACATGTTAAAACATGTCGATTAAGCATATTTTAAACAATTTGAAACATGTTTAAAACGTGATTTTACCAACCTTGATAAAAAATCGAGCCATATAGCGTAAATAGCGCTTGAGATATCTTTTTAAAATTTATTATCATTCAGGAGAGCTAAAAGCTAAATGACTTGAGCTCGTTTAGCATTTTTGCCTTGTTCTAGACTCTTAAACTTGTTTCCCGACGGTATCGGCGTGCAATCAAGAATCACCTTGTATATCTAACATCACCGTTTGCGAAGGCTCTTCTCGTTTACTTTAGTGCGTATGCGAACCGCTCCGGTTGGATGGAACGTCGTTCCATCGTTAACGCGTACGCTCGTTGTATACACGTGACAAATAGAAGTCCCGTCCGCGCGCAGATATTACGCGTATGTACTGTAAATCGGCGGAGAATCGGGACGCGCACTCGCGAAATCGGGACGCGCACGTGCAAGATTAATATACATCGCTGATCCCGCTCATTCATAAACACGCGCGCGCACACACATCAATGTTTCATTCTTCTATTTGTAATTTCGTTACAATATAATTTCGCGTATGCGTATATGTACACATTTATCAGCCACACTGGCACTAAGGCCGCCGAGAGTTATCCCTACTTTCGGGATCTCTTCGCGCCTTCCTTCCTCGCGAAAGGATAGAATACACATTAACAAAGTTCATGATTTTAATGTTATTAAAGGAGGAAAGGCAAGTCTCTTTATTAGGAATAGGCTTAGTAAATCACTTCGTATACAGTGGCCTTCTTGTCGCCGGATCCGGTCACAATGTACTTGTCGTCTGCGGAAATGTCGCAGCTCAGCACCGACGACGACTCCTTGGACTGCAAAGTTTAACAAAAATATTGGCAAAATAAAACTTATGAAAACGTCGCCATTCAATTTTATACATATTAATTTATCGTTTTGAAAAGGTTTTCTCTTCTAAAAATTTACTTTTAACCAAATGGAGTTCAACAAATTAAAAAAAATAATAATAAAATACAAGAAAAAGAAAAGACAATTTAGCCCAAAAGAAAGTTCAATATACATATAGATACATATATCCAATATACATCCCGTTTTACAAACGAACGCTAAGTTTTAGGTCGTGGCTGGATGCCAAACGAACACAAAAAATTGGGGCAAAGAATATAAATTATCCCGTCAATTAGTGTCTGCATTTAAATACTTGCCTGAAATATTGAAGCACCGTACGGCGTACGCCACGCGTTCAGTAGATTGTCCTTGCCAGTCGAGACGAACCACTTGCCGCAGGAGGCGAAACGCAGCGAGAGCACGCAGGAGTCGTGCAGATGCAGCTGGTACTTGTCGGACTTGGTAGCATGGAGTACCTCGACGTTCGAGTTCTCCATTCCGACGGCCAGCCACTCGCCGGTGGGGCAGTAACCGAGGGAGAATATCTGCGAGGTGAAATCGTGCTGCTGCAGCTGCCTACCCTCGCGAAGGTCCCAGGAGCGCACGGTATTGTCAAGACCGCCGGTCCACAATTTTGAACCATCAGCCGAGATGTCAATGCAGGACGCCCCGTCCGTGTGACCTTGGAATTGCCTGACCAATGACTGATTCTGCAAGTCCCACACGGCGATATTGCCGTCGCTACAGCAGCTGAAGCAGACTTTCGAGTCCGGCGAGATTGCCAAGGCGTAACACGCAGGCGCCGACGAAGTTAATTCCGCCTTAATTCTGGGCGTGGGACTAGCTAGGTCCCAAATGCTCAGTTGGCTGGCCTCTCCGCCGACTATCAAGGTCCTCCCGTCAGGCAGAAGTTTCACGGATCTGGAAGGTAAAACACGCCGATTTCGCCGAATGTCTTCCGCTTAATTAGTTTTACTGTCAAGAAATTTTATTTTGATAAATATAGTCACTTTAATCTATGTCAGCATTTTTCAACCTTCTTCGTGGTACACTAAATAACGAGCCAAATTTATTCAGGTACATCATTAGCACATATTTCAACGCTCAGCATAGGTCTTTTATTAGACATCGCCAACGCAACATTCAAAAATAAACAAAAAGTTCTAAAGTTTCTATTTTTTTTTATTTTATTTTAAAAATGATATTGCAATGAGACGACACTGCTTTTTTTGTGTGTGCGTGGTTAAAATGAAAGTAAACACAATATAATATTTTTTCAGTTTTTAAAAGATTTTTTACTTCGCGCGTTACTCGCTTTTTATTTAAATAAAAGAAATTAAAATAAGAAGAGCCAAAACAAACAAATTTTAATATACATGTGATACAGTTGACATTAAACATAAAAGTAAAAACAAGATAAAAATATGTCTACATAAAACTAACGTTTTGACATTCTTCGTGTCATTTTCAAAGTTATAAACTAAAATGTATATAAAAGCAATTGACTAAAAGATAACAGATTACACTTTAAATTTCTTACAGTGAAATCTCACTCCAAGAAAGTGAAAATGCAACCACCCTTGAAAAAAGTGAAAATATTTCATTTCTTGAAAAAAGAATGACGATCTTCACTCTTGTTAGAGTGAATTTTCATTTCAAAAAAGTGAAATCTCATTCCAAAAAAGATTTCACTCTAAAAAGAGTGAAGATCGTCACTTTTTTTTCAAGAAGTGAAATATTTTCACTTTTTTTCAAGGGTGGTTGCATTTTTACTCTCTTGAAGTGAGATTTCACTGCAAGAAATTTAGAGTGTACAGAAGTACAATGACATAAAAGTACACCAAAGTTGTTTAGGCCCTGATTTCAACTATATCTAGTCGACATACGGTAGATCCTGGATTTACGCCATCGTTGAGTATCAAACAATGAAAATATGTAGTTAACAGAAAAAAAACCCTGGATATACGCCATAATTCGATTACAGTGGTTACCGCCAAATATAAAAATATCGCTGATACTGCCATTGAGTAAGGCAAATTAATTAATCCTCCTTATGAAAGGTTAATCCAGATTCTAAAGTATAAAATTGCTTTTTATTTATTTTTTGCCTCTTTTTAGTTTCTTTAAAATTTCACAGCACACTTAGAAACCCTTTACATTGAAAAACTCTGATTTACGTGCTGTAATAACTTCAAACAACAGTCTTGTCTCTTTGTCTTTAAAAATAAAATTATTAGTCACTACCAGAAGAAATGTGTGTCTTTATCCGCTACCTACTTTATGAGATCAAATCGTGCACGTAATCCTTTTCGCGAAAGTATCTAAAGATCAACGGAACGTTTAGACGTAACAGTGAGATACCAATCACTCAGAGCTCTCACCTAATGTAATTGTCACGTTGCAAACAGTCCAGCTGCGAAACTGGTTTCACGCTGGCGCTGCCGACACTTTGGCCGATATCCCAGACCTTGACGCAACCTTTGCCGCCGGTGTAGACGTACTTGGTCGGATTCGAGATCGTAACGGCACAAACCACTTCGCCGTGTGTCAGGGTGTTAATCTGACGTGCGTGACGCGGGATACCCGGTCCTACCAGAGCGTCCGTGGGGAATGGTACAGGCTGCAGTTGGCCCTCGCCGTTCATATGGTAGGAGTACGCCCTGCGCGAAATAAACGCAAGTGTTTAACGCTCTTATCGCGAGGGATAATGCCGGGGAGAAGTGACGTACAAAGGAACTTCTCAAAATGTCAAATTTTTATTTTAATGAAACTTTGTATACATAAATAGATGAATTTATAGAAAATATCAGTTGCGAGACTAATAAACGATTTTAAGGGGTGAAATCAATCCTCGTTATAATTTACTACGATAACTCAAAACAGAAAATTTTCCAGAAAATGAATTTGAATATCTTGAATCTTTAAAATTTTGTAATATTAATTTTGAAATACAATTTCTGTGGAATAATTGATTGTAGAAAAATTAAAATATGTTCTATATTAAACTAAAGATATAAAGAGTTTTCAGCTTTATTCGTTATATGTCAAGAACTTTTCAAGATATAAAAAAAAATATTCTATACTAATAATTAAAAAAAAATAATTTTTTAAATCACTTATTTTATCGCTTTACTTTATATAAGAGATAATTTCGCCCCTTAAAACTGCAATTAATATTATCTAAATTCATCTGTTACGTAATTTATATATGTATACAGAGTTTCATTAAAATCAGAATTTGACATTTTACAAGATTTCCTTGTTAAAAAGATCTAAAACGACTTTTTTTTCACGTTAATTATAATTACGTACGGTTTGCCACCTGCGATGTTGTTCAGTCCGTTACTCGCGGGTATCCTCATGTGACCGTCGAAACCGATCTGCGGAAGAGATGGTGGCTCAGTATTGTGACGCACAGAGATGAGAAAAAAAATAAAGGCGCGTTTGTTTATAGCACAAAAATACGAAATAAATGCAGGCCTTAGGAAACGGTCATCGTCGATTTGGATGATTCTTACACGAGTCTGATACGAGATTGATCGCGTTTTAACCCTAAGAGGACCTCTGCCAGTTTGACCTTTCTGATCATTCGATATAGATTAAGTTTAGATTTCATCAGATTCGATCTAGATAGCTTTACAGTATCCATGAAGACAATCGAAGAGAACGCTTATAGAACGTTTATAGAAGTCCTTCTAGGGTTGAAAGAAATTAATAGTAGTATAAACAGTTGCGGTCCAAAATCAATTAGTATTTTTTTTTTTCAGTCGCATATAAAACTATATTAATTAAAAAAGAACTGAACGAAAAAGGGCAACGAGCCTAAAAGTTAGTCGTTATAAATTGGAAGTTTTAAGAAGTCACAGAATAAAAACATGTCATTTTGTTATAATATAAAAATTTAAGATTGTCTCTGAACATACTAGAGAGATAACTATTCCACTCTCATCGCATTGTCTGACAATAGATAGTTTTATATTATACTGACACACGATTTATAAGATACAAAATTTGTTTAATCTCTTCAAACTATAACCAGAAGTTTACGTTGTTAATGATTTCAACGTTTGTACAATGTTCAAGTTATACTGAGCGAGGTTTATTACATTAAATACTGAGTTTTATTATACTAAAGTTTTGCGATTGAGAGCGAATTATAATTTTTATATATTTTAACTTTGTAATATATTTTCACCGTTTCATTTTTGTATCTTAACATTGATAATGATCCAACAGGGATCGAAACGTTTGTTTGTTTGTGTTTTATTGTTTATTGACGGCAAATTAAATTTTTATATTATAACGAAATGACATGTTTTTGTTCCGTGACTTGTTAAAATTTCCAATTTACAACGACTAACTTTTAGGCTCGTAGCCCTTTTTCGTTCAGTTCTTTTTTAAATTTATTGAGCCTTATTATTATCATATTTTAATATTAATTAATGAATGAAAGCGTGGTAACGTAAGGACTAAGGTGTTACGGGGTCGTGAATCACCATGGAGGGCCGCGCGTATGGCAAGTTGCTGTATGGCGAGGGCGACTGCGGCGGCTCATTGCCGCGGGATGGCAAGCCCTGATAACCCTGCGGTGGCGTTTGCTGCGACGATGGCGGATGATAGACCCGCGCCAAGGACCCAGGGATGCCGCCCATAGTTGGCGTACAACTGCGCGAGCCCCTCGCCGCCGCCACAGGTGTACCCGGCTTGTCGACCTGGCGAACGCACGGTGTTTGCACCCACTTTTGCAGACGCTCACTGTGTCGCAATCGTACTAAGCTCTCGACCATGCCGATTGCAAATTTGCTGACCATGTCAGCCGCGATATCTTTCCTTTTCGTTTCGTTTCGCACGCGGCGGCAGAGAGCCGCTGCCTCGAGACGATCGATCGGGTAAATAAAAAAAAAAGTACCGTGTTGTCGCGGAAATGTTACGATATGATTAGGGCCGTCAAACGCAAGAGCCCGCGTCGAGCAGAAATTGCGCTGTACTCAAGGCACGTATTATGGAAATGTTCGAAATGGATTCCGATCGGAGTTATTTCGTTTTCCCTAGAAAACACAATAGAAATCTAGGGAATAATTGAATAATTCCGATTGAATCCCGTCCCGAATAATTTTATAATACGTGTCCAGATGCCAAATTCTTCTTCGATTCTTCAACGAGAGTCGATATCCTTCTCACAATAAAAAAAATCGAATTGCCAGCCGATTATTCGATTCATTGTTCAATCGATTTTTTCCGGCTTGGATCAAGGAGATAATTTAAATGCCAAACAATTGAAAATGATTGATTTTTTTATCTATAGATCCAACCAATTAAGGTCAAAGCACAGACTCGATTCGTCTGATTCTGATTGATTTATCAGAATCCTTCATTTCATAGAAAAGAAAGACTTTGATTGGTCAATTCTTTTACAGTTTATACGTTATGTGTTATACAAAGATCTGTGCTCTGGTCTTTACGTTCAATCGCTCAGCGAGTAGGATAACTCAGATAAAACACAGTCATAATTTAAATCATAATGATATCATGGAACGTCATTATGACGTAATTTGATACTTAAAAATAAACTTATAGATGATAAGTAAAGTTATAGTGACGTCTTTATGATGTTATGACTTCTGTGTTTTATTTGGGAGACTGTGTTTAGAGAAATTTCACCCAAGTAATCCCCACTTATTTTATCCTTGTTGTTAAGTAACAAAGGATAGAATAATAATATATAAAATAACAATATATATATATATAATTGATCATATAATGGTGAATTATGAAACAAATTCATTAGTATTACAAATGGGTGCCGAATGGATGATTGGAGAATTTCGTAGGGCGCATTCAAGTACTACAACTGCTCACTGAGCGCTCAGTGAGCGATTGTGGTACTGGTTATTGAATGCGCCCATAGTCCGTGCCGGTCGCGCTTCTCTGATTATTTAGAACTTTACACGTTACGAGCACATACATTTCCAACTTTGTGTGCAAAACAGTGTCTATTTAATATACAGTATTAATAATAATGGATTTAATATAACTTGATTCTTTAGAATCGATTCACTTTCCCCTTCTTTGATTATAAAAAAAATCGTGGTTTTCAAAAAGATTTTAAAGAATCTCGATTCACTTTACAGAAAACGGCATCACTTGAATATGTACAACGAATAGCGCTCGATCGAAGATGCTTTTACAATTATTTCAACAATCGCACAGTTTTGTTATACTACTTGCCTCTTGGTCACCGCGTTCTGTCCTTGAAAATAAATGCATAAGTGAGTAAGAATTCGTAAAGCAGAAAGAGATGAAACGTCTGACGACCCTATTATTAGGTACCACGCAAATAGAAGAGATCGACTTTTTAAGCTCGCTCCACGAGAGGGTTTTCGGTACATGTATGGGCGACAGAGTCACGACTGGGCCGGGTCGCAGCGCCGAATAAGCTTACTCTCCGCGAGATCTTACATCTTTACTTTTCAGAGACGGTGTACTACGGGCGGAGGAGCTGCCGCTGCGCGACGGCGGCCTGTCCTTAACGGATGCCGAGCCCGCGCCGGATACCGGTCCGCCAACGTGGCCCGGTGCGCCCAGCTTCTCCAGGGTGCCGTTTTCACGTGGGTCCGAGTGCTCCCCGTTCGCGTGCGGCGACGACGCCTCCTTTCGCGATACGCAAATATCAGGATTTCGTTAAACGAACACACGCAATATCCTACTTAAGATATAGCATGCGATAGCACCAGTCTTTTTTTTTTTATTCGGCAATATATCTTTATCCGCAAAAACTTTTTTTCTCTCGTTTCTTCAAACATCAAAATAGATTTTTTAATAAGATTTTTTTTTTTAATAGATTTTTATTTTCTAAAAGTATAATATATACAAGCTTGGAACAAAATCATTTCGCGTCGTTTTTTTTTCCCGACAACAACATTAGTTTTAATTGACATTAAACAAGTGCAAAGTTTAAAACTCGCATGCAAAGTATAATTATGAAAGATAATTATAATTACGTGTAAATAAATGTGATATTACATAAATAGATATATATATATATATATTTCTTTTAAAAATTAATGGATAAAATGACGCTTTTTTAATGACATTCTTACCTCGTTCGCCACATCGACGACCAGATCCTGGTCGCTCTTTTCAGCGTCGCTCTCCTGAAAAAGTCGAAAAAAAAACATATGAGATGATGATACAGTCCACGTGAGCAATCAGTCTACCGAGTACATGGTCGAGCTTTTGATGCACCTCCCGTCCAAGTAGACGTGCAACTCGACCCACATTCTCGCGTGTCCTACTGACGGACGCACCCTCCGAGATGCATTATTAATCTCGATGCCTCGCTCACGCGATGCTCCGATTGTGCTCGAACAATAAATTAACGGTACAAACGCCTCGAGGCAATAAGCTCCGGAGCGCACGGTGTATCGACGATGAGCCCATGAATGCGTAATCTGACTCCAAGTCGAAACGTTTATGCTCAATTAAGCTTGATAATTAAATACTAAAATATTCAAAAAAGACTGCGTTTATTCTGTATAATTCTGTCGAACCCCCCCTGGCGCTCCGTAATCCGAATTCGACTCGACGGCGTGCAAGTATAATTAGGAAGAAAGTGTTATTACACAATTACCTGTATACATTTCTCATTCGTGAAACAATTTGCGGCTATCGTATACGTTTATCTTATACCAAGCTCTATATCTATAACAAGCCCGTTACCGACCCTGCAATTTTGCATCCATACTGTATGTGGCCGTAGCGCACGTATATCGCGTACGGCTAATTTATGTGGCATTTATCTCGTAACACTACTTATCGGTTATCTTTCACTCGGGTGCAAGAGCGGCGGAGGCCCGCCGCCTCTCGCTCCGCTCCGCCACCGCCGTAGTTCCGTCCTCTCGGCTCTCAGAACGTGGCGCATAACGAGCTCAAAGCAGGGCACGCGATAGTAGCATTGCCCGCCTAATGACGTAATATTATCGCAGCGTATAACGTCCCATCGATGCACCGCGTGCATCGTACATTTTCTACGTATGTGCACGAGAGGATTTTGTGCGGGTGAGCCGCGCATATACGGACGCACGAAACCACCTGTGCGCGTCGCGACCGTTTTAAGTAATTCAGCTCTGGCGGGTGTATTTAAAAAATTCCCCCGCTAACTACCGCACCGGCCGCCTAACGTGATCTTATCCGACGTCCCAGCGCATGCATAAATTACATTCGACTGCCGCACAGGAGAAAATTGTCCGCGCGGTTTAAGGAAAATTGAAATCGTGGATTAGCAAGAAGCTCGGAGTAATTTAAAAAACTTAAAATCTACGTACATTTTTTTTTTAGACGTATCTTCGCATTCGTACTTGAATGTCTTTCGCAGCGAATACCGCGGATGAATTTAAAACGAACAGATTCTCTTTAGATCGCCAAGTTAATCACAAGGTATCTAAAGATTACCAAGATGTTTTTTTATTTGTTATTTAATTGTAGTTTGATTTTATTTGAGAAGAAAAATTTTGTGCTGTGAAGAGCAAGATGCGTTTAACTCAATCTTCCGAGGGCCAACATTTTTGAAAGATAGAACAAACAACTGGACGAGATAAGTACTTTTTGAGAAAGATAGCCAGACGGATTTCCGAGAAGGAACGCGTTAAATGGACCGCGTGACATTAACCGGACTAGGACGAAATCGCAATCTGGCCGCGCCAGATATCCTCGAGAGGGATGTTTCGAGCTGCTAGGGACACGCAATAAATTTGTGTACGGATGATGAGCTTGGGTAAATAGAGAAGGCAGTGTGGTGGTATTGATTTCAGTGGTATATTACTCGGAGTGGTGAGAGCG